CAGTAACATCAACATTTTGTTGTCCTCCATGCCTCACTCGATTCTCAACAATTCCTTCATCCACATTCCCAGCTTTAACCAAATTCACTGCACTGGAAATTCTAGCTAGAGCTCGATCAAATGGAATATCGGCACGGCTTGATGCATTAGTTATTTTTTGCAACTTAGCATTTAAATAATCCCTAGCATCCCCTTGTAATTTTTCCACTTTGCTCATCTCCTCAGCCAAAGCCAAAACTTTAGTAGGCACTACACGATCATCATCACCTTGAGCATTTTGCATTTTCTTTCCTTTTAACAAACGACACTGAGTATCTTCATGTCCTTGATGCTTACAGTGGGAGCAATATGCAGGCAAATTATCATAGACAATTGTTTGGAAGTCCTCGACAATCTTTCCAGATTTGGAATCAATGTATTGCAGCCTCACCTTATCTGGATGATGATCCAGCAGATCCAAGATCACCTTCACTCTCGCTGTGCTCGGACGTGACTTAACTTGTGTGGTCTTATCAATGGCAATTGGCCTACCAACTACAACTGCGATGGACATTAAAGGTTTGCTTGCAAACAAGTCAGGTGACAGATTTGGAAGTGAAATCCAAACTGCCGCCTTAGATCTTTCCTCCTTAGGATTATATCCAACACTCCAAGGAAAAGTTCTAAATTGGTGTTCCTTTACAGCGTGTTGAAAGTAATTTACAGGTCATGACAATGAACAAACAAAATCTTCATATTGATCACAACGCAGCAAAATTTGTCTATGAGCAAGTAAACCTAAAACACAATGACCTTTAATACCTATGGTTTTCGGCAATAAGCTTCTTAGCACTTGCAAATCTGGTGCACCAAAGATTATCTTGATTACCACAGCTTGGTGTAATCCTTCTTCCTTTGCAAATTGCTCTCGTTCGTCCAAAGTAAACTGTAGTGTAGGAATTCCATGCACAAGAACTGTAGGTTTGAGTTTAATTTTTGTGATAGGTGGGACTGTTTGTTGGGTATTAACGCACGCTGCATATGTGATGTTGTTACTAAGTGCAGTAACTTGCTTAGCCTTTTGGATTTGCTCTCCCACATCTTGGAGCTGGGGAGAGACGACAACATCCATGACTGCTCAAAATATCACATAATTGACGTGAATAACATCAATTAAAGCCTAAATCTGGAAAACAAATCTGGATGCTACAGTAACTCGCGAGATAGAGTTTAAGATCTAGAAAAATTGGTTATGAATTTGAGGATGAAACCAATTGGGGATTGTGCGCAAAGAGTAGATGCTTCTTTTGACACCAAGATTGCGACAATCTACCGCCGGATGCCGGAGTTATAGCTCGATGAAAAGTGACGAAAGTACTATTCACCTTCTTCCTAGAGAGAGAAAATGTTGAATTTGGTTGCGACTTTTTGTTTAATTGGTTTAAGCAAAATATTTGACTTGGACTGTTTTTCTTTTACATTAAAAACTTTTTTCAACTTTAAACTGCAAATTTCAGTTCTTTCAGTGATATTTTGTTACATGTTTTACCTTGGCTTACCTACTTGGAAAACTAGAATAAATTTCTATCGGCAAATTCAGTGTACAATACTTTTCTGAGCATTCGACTTTCTAATTTTAATTTTTTTCAATTTTTTTTTTGTTTCCCAAAATTACAGCTCATGAATTTGAATATTAGCTAGGTGTACTTCCCTGACATTTCCTTCTCTAGTTTTTGAAATGTCTCTCTTCTTTTACGACTAAGTTTTATTTTGTATCTCATACAACTTACACTAGTTGTATGAGGCTCCTTTTTGTCTCACAAATTTGTGGACCTCAATCTTACACTTCTGGGTCCACAGAAATTTGAGTCCACAAAACAGTGAGACAAAAAGATTACCTCATACAACTAGTGTCAGTTGTATGAGATACAAAATAAAATTTTCCCTCTTTTACTTTGAGAAATGCTTACATGAACAAATACAGTGAACTAGGGGTGGTAAATTGGCGGGGCGGGTCGGATATGAGACGGGTCGAAAACGGGTAATGAAAAACATATAAATTATCTGATTTGACCCATATTTAATACAGATAAAAGAGGGGTTAACTGGCGCATAATATGGGTAACCATATTATCCATGGCTTCATGAATATGATTACTTTGTAGGAGAATTTTTAGTCTTCCAAACTTGAGGAACCCCCAATTTAAGGTTTTACAAATGTAAAAGTTAAACTCATCAGTTATCCATTTTTTAAAGGGAAATTTTCATAAAGCACTATCTTTTAGTAGTAATTAACCATCTATATATACCATTTGCTTTATTACGGATTATAGATACCTTTTCTGTGGTTATAAGATGTATTTGATGTATTTAAGCTATTGCATTCATGAATACAATAGCAAAAATAGGCGTGAATCAGGGAAGTCCAGCTAATCAGTTGTTGTATTCGACTGTATTTATGGAGTGAAACATGAGATTACAGCTAGACAGATTATTGTATTCGACTATATTTACGACGTGAAATATGGGATTACACTATTTTAAAAACGGAAAGTGAATCAATTAGCACAATAGACTCCTAATATAACTCAACAAAACCCAATTATAACACACAAATTTTGTATTTTCAACTATAAAAAAGATTCTCAACCGAAAAATACCCCAAAAACATAGCAATCTTCAGAGAAATTATATAATACATCTGAATACATACATTATATTAATTAAAAAAACATATAAATACATTCATGGCATATAGCGAGACAGTGAATACAATGAAATACATAGAATACAACGGGATACATTGAAATACAATGAGAAAAAAAGACAGTAACTACAATGAAATACATGGAATACAACGAGATACATTGAATTACAATGAAAAAAAGACAATGAATACAATAAAATGCATGAACATACAACGTGATACGTTGAAAATATATTGAAATATATTAACAGAAAATCAAGTTGCACAGCCCCAAAATCTGTCGTCTTTGTTCAAGAACAAACCCTAATTTCTGGCAAATCCGCCATCGAGCAAAACCCTGAATCTCACTGTTCCCACGCATCCTGTAAAACTATTAAACAGAAGAATTCAAAAAAAAAAAAAAGAATAAAAGACCAACATGGAGACTTACAGTAAATTCAAGAATCGATAAAAAAGATTCCAACCTTCAATTAGATTCTGTTGCACTCAACCCCCTTTCTTCCTGGACATGTGAATTAATGCCGGCGGCGAGAGTGGCCGACGATATGATATATATCGCCGTCGGGAAAGACTTGAAGGAGAGTGAACCTGCTCTGAAGTGGGCTTTGCACAAATTCCGTGGGAGTAGGAGAGCGGAAATTTTAATAGAATGGGGGAAAAGAATGTGATGTATCAAAGTAGAGAGCGAAAGAAAATAGTATAACTGAATAGCGTATTTAGTGACTTTGGGCTAGGAAGTAACCAAAATTAAATATTTTGCTATAAACCTTAAAAGGTATCTATAAAATATAATTTTTTTAAATAATATTTATTTAAAATAAATAAGATGTTAACCTTTGCTATAGTAAATAAAAATTCCTTATTTATTTATCAGTTTAGCCAAAACATGCTAAGTCTCAGTTCATCTCCTTAGCTGGAAGTCCTATATTATCAAAGGCCCAGAGACGTAAAATTCAAACACTTTTCCAATTTGCCTTGCTATCAGGGCAGATGCAACTTGCAAAAAATACTTTTCCATTTTCCCTTTGCTAGTAGGCAAGATGCAATTTACAAGTATGTCATATGTGGTTATAGATGCAAATTCTATTTCGTCTCCATATAGTAAAACAGTTTTGAGAAATAGATATATTGATATTAAGATTGTACTATTCTTTAAAACTTATATTCGGTAGTTAAATTCACTTATGATCATCCAACTTTAATTGTGTGACACAAAAACAACTTAACTATACCTATATATTACAGAAAATACTAAATTTATTCTCGAAAAATGTAAGTTGGGTGCCAATGTATATAATGGACTTATAATTGTAATCATGTCAGCTCACTTTATATAATATCCATATGACGTTACATAACAAAATTATTTTTCAACGCAACCTAGTGCCCGATATTTAATTGTTGTATTTGAAAAATATAATTCAACTTTCCAATTAGTTCCCCGATTTTCTGATGTCTCCAACAGTTTTAGGCATGGTAACTTTGTTGTTTCCACGTGTAGCTCCTTTCCAATATACACCATATTTTTTAAATTTTATTCCCTAGCAAACAAAATTCCTAGTTTTTGCCCTATAAATAATAAAAGAAATGGTCTCAGTTATGGTTTTACAAGGAGATACACAGGTTAGGGTGCAAATTATACAAGTATTACTAAGGCAGACTTTGACCAGTTTAATATTTTTTTTTGCGTCACAGTAATTTATTTAACTCGAACAGAGAACAAATGTGGAACTACGCTAGGTATGTTGTTATTGTTGAATAGAGAACAAATCTTTCCACCAGAAAACTTGTCAATTCTGAAAAAAATAGTTTTAAGTTCTAGCAGAAAGGACAATGATATAAAACAATATATGAAGAAACAAAAAGCCAAGCTAGTTAGTAGGGTTTTTCAAACCGAACCGAAAAACCGCACCAAACCAAAAACCAAACCAAATCGATTAAAAAACCCGATTAGGTTTGGTTTGACTTGGTTTGATATTGAGTAAAAAAATCCGAACCAAACCGCCATATAAATATATAAATTTTATTTATATTTTTAAAACTTTATAGTGAATTTTTGGGATACTCTCATGTATTAACCTTGAAAGCATAAATAAATTATTGTTAGACAACTAAGAAAATAACTATCATGTGTTACTAAAAAAATTCTCCCATTAGAATATTTTATAGATCATATGTTTGTCAATTTTTTCCATATTGACTAAACATATATTCACTTATCGAAGCTTTATATATAATTTTAACAAAGTAAGATAGAAATAATATACATGTAACAAAAAGACCCGAAAACCTGAAAAATCCGACAAAACCGAACCAATCCAAACCGATATAGTCGGTTTGGTCCGATTTTTATCAAAACCGAACCAACACGGTCCATGTACACCCCTACTAGTTAGAATTAGAAGCTCTAATAGCTCACACCAAGTGATTATACATAGAAATGATATCTCACCTTCTGACATAAACTGTTCCTCTATTTTCTTCCCAGTGATTAAGCTATTAACTTTTAGTACTAATAATAGAACAAAGTTGCATGCTTCAACCCTAAATTAAACCATTGTTTCTTGAAGTTTTGCTAAGTGCTTCCTCCCTTTAAGATGGGCAGCCAGATCAATCTCGCTAAGGCACTTGACGTTACAAAAACGACACAACAGCTTAGAACTATGAGTAACACCAACAGCATTCTTCACTTGTTTCTGCTTTTCATATTGTCCAGTAGCTCCTAGTTGGACCTTTTCTTTTGGCTTTTCATTAGTACTACTGCGCGTTATTTGTGGTGCAAGTGCATGTTCTACTTGCTCCTGCTTAAGATTTCTTTCAGCTTTGGCCTTTTTCTTGCAAGTTTTCAGCTCTTCACACTTTTCCCTATGATTCCTTCCTAGAAGATGGCACTTCAAGTCATGCTCTGAGTTGGTTGTCACTTGACATAATGCACAAGTCCACTCTTTCTGAACGTTATTTAAAGAATTGGTCTCGCGGAGTGTAATCTCTTTGGTATTATCTGCTAGAAGCGTTGTTTCCTTGATCGGCACACCTGTTGTTTTCTTCCCAACCTGAACTAGATTTTCCTCCACACTTTTAACCTGCAGTTCCACAGGGAATATTTTAATCACTGGCTAAGGATTACTTTAGCTTTATCATAGAAAAATAAACGCTAGGTTAGAATAAAGGTGGTACTAATGTTTAAAAAGAACATAGAGCTTCAATTCTCTCACATTTTTAGTGGCTTCAAATGTTTATAGGAGAAACTGAGGTTTGACTAGGCACGACGTTTAAGAAAGAAAGTACGACTTTTAAAGCTTGTGGTATTAAATATGTCAAAACATTTATAAGACTTTTGAAATTGTGGTCTTAAACAATGTCATAACTAACATTTGAATAAAATGGGAAATTTAAGCCAAATTATTTCCAAATTTAGAAGATGTCATTCTTTTTGGAACGAACTAACAAGGAACTAGTGTCATTCTTTTTCGAACAGATGGAGTATATTCATCTATTGTTTGCTCAGCATTTGCATGAGCAATACTTAATATCGCAAGAAAGACCAAGGAAGTTCTAGGGTTAAAAAATTAATAACCTGTTTGGGGTCAGCTGCTTCATTAGTATTTTGCTCTGATTGTGGTGCAGCTGCATCTTTTACTTGCGCCTGATTAAGCTGATTTGACTTTGTTGTAACAGGTGAGCTTCCTTCAATTTTCAGCTCTTCACACGTTACCTTACGTCTCCTTCTTTTACGACGGGACTTCAAGTTATGCTCTGAGGTGGTTGTCAGTTGGCATACTGTACAAGTAATCTCTGGAAGTTTACACTCTTCGGTATCTGCTGGAACTACCATTCCCTCGACCTGCATTCCTACCGTTTCCTTCTCAATATGAATTTGATTTTCCTTCACACCTTCAACCTGCAGTTCCACAGGCGTTTGGCATACATATTACTTTTGCTTGATTATAGAATAACAAATACTAGGCTAGAATAAAGGGGGTACTGATTTTTAAAAAAAAAATTAAGAGTATTATGTCTCTCCCTTGGTAAATTGCAAGGATTCTGGAAAATTTGCCAGAGCTCGATTCTGCCTAAATATCCTACTTCAATAACTCAATTTATTTGTGACTGAGGCGAAGTAGTAGTTGTTGTAAATCTCTCCCTTTATTAATGTCTTCAAATTTTTACAGGAGAAAAAGTGGCCTGAAACCGTACTAAGACATATGAATCTAATGCAAGCTTCAAATAGGATTAATTTAACAAAGTGCACCAGTTAAAACTTTCAGGTGTGAATTTTCAGCATATACGAAGTTTCTTCTTTGTCCAAATGATAATGCACTTGACCTCTGTGTGCATTATCAATTGCCATTTCACATTTAGCTTGATTAATCATTAATGAGCCTAATATTTTGCCTTCATTTACAGTAAGCTTCATCTCAAGTTCTCCTCTTGTCATCAATCATCAATTAACAGTTTGTTTAATATTTCATATATCAAGGCATCTAGAGCACTACTTATGAACACGTAATGTTCCACAAAAAGTAATTAAGGAAATTCAAGGGTTAAGAAATATAACCTGTTTGGGCTCAGCTGCTTCATGTTTTGCCATGTGCTCCCTCACTTTGATATCTTCCCAAACAGGACCACTCCCTTCACGTGCTGTCTGATTAGGGGCGGCACTATGATTGTTATTTATGGGATTTGAAGGAATGAAAGCGTGTGAACAGACAAAAACATTTCACTAGAAAAGAATAGGACAGTAACTAGTCCTGTTGTTAACAAAAGGAAAATTCACTCTTTGATGCTTTATTTGAGAAAATTGATAGCTGCATAATGTTATTACCACAATCTATTCCTCATGTACATACAATAGTTTAACAGTTGGAAGGTACACTACATCTATGCAAACGAACAACAACAACAACCCAGTAAAATCCCACTACTGGGGTCTGGGGAGGGTAGTGTGTACGCAGACCTTACCCTTACCCCGAAGGAGTAGAGAGGCTGTTTCCGAAAGACCCTCAGCTCAAGAAAACAAAAAGACAAAAAGAGACAATATTAGTATCAGTAAAGAAATCATATGAAAAACAGGAACAACATGAAATTCAGATCTATGCAAACGAAGCATTCATGAATTAGCTGGATATAAGCAAATCTCAAAAATTAGTGCATGATATCATATATATATATATGCAAACCAGTTAACCTGTACCCATCTTCTAATGCAACTTTCCAAATAATTGTGGAGTCAGAAATCCAATAAAGCAGCAGCACAAGAAGTTAAAAAACTGTTTCATACAGTACAGGGAGCCAAGTTCGAGTTGCTACAAAATCCAGTCGAATATGTAGTCATGCATTTGCTTCTATAATGGTGGGAATCTAACTTTCGGCAACTGAAATGGATTAGTAGTCTGAATTTGCATATGCTAAAGTACATCAAAGCAACTGTATGGCCAATTTGGTAATGAACTGGCTACTCCTTGCTAAAGTAACATATGAACATACCTTGTTTGCAATAAGTTTCACCAGCGGATCAGATCCATTTTCTTCAAGATACCTCTCTCCCACATCCAGAAATGTTTCAGTCTTGAGAGATGGATCCTCCATTGGCTTGTTAAACCAGTCAGTGAAAGTTTGAAGGTTGACAAACGAGCACAAATATGCAAAGCATTGGTAAACATAACAAGAACCATAAAACTGAGCAATAACATCGTGCAGTTTCAATGGCAAACATGGATGAACAAGATGTTGATAAAAATAACATGCGCTGTTAAACTCAGGTATTACCAACCAACATATGGCAATTAATTTTATATAAGGCCACAGAGGAACCCTGCCAAAGAAAATGAAAAGATATCAGTATATGTAACAGGAGTAGTTTCATAAGTTAATGCCACTAATTGAGGATATCATAAGTTAACCATTAACGACTTTGAGTTTGCCCTTATTTTTTTAAGACACAGAAAAAAATTGTCAAATGATCTTACTGGAAGTTAACCTTAATTAAGTGTCAATAATTCAAAGAGTTCCATTTTCACATAATTTAAAAAGGATAATGAAAGGAATACACGTAAAATAAAGGTTACAAATTTAATTTCTGCCCCTTCTAATATAGCCAGCTAAGAGTACAGCAGATTACCATTCAATAAGTTTCTCAAATACGTGCTCGAACAGGGAAATAAAGGAAAAGATAGTCCAATATGTGACTATCTTCCTCATGTGATACTCGGAGCCAGTCTCAATCGCTCGGATTGAAGCACATCTGCAGTTCCACAACAGAATTGGTAGAAGCAAAAATACTACTATACGAGTAACCAAAGCTGGAAATGGAAGCTTTCAATACTTGAAACTTTGTTATGCCTTAGGATACATTTGGGGCCGGCCTTAGCTACCTTTACAGCTTGTTTACCTTTACAGCTTGTTTGGATGGTTGTTACCTATTGTATCATATCGTATTGTTATTTTAAATACAACATTATTTTGATTGTTACTTAAATTTTATAGTATCGTATTGTTAAATTCGCTGTTACGTAACGATGAAATGTGCCACTCTATGTAACGACCGATTTGGTGTGGTCGCGTCGCTTCCTTGTGTTTTTCTCTCAATCTCAACCTTCATTATTATTATATAATTTTATTTTATCATTTACCCTACCTTTTTATATACCGTGTCATAATTTTTCTTTATAATATTGCAAGTTTATTCATCATATTACCGGTGCGTGATACCATGAAACAACGGCAAAACGACACAATCCATCCAAACATTGTATTCATCAAAGGATACAGTACAGTATAATACAATATGTTACGATGCATTATGAAATGATATGTAACAACCATCCAAACAAGCTGTTAGTGAAGGAGGCTGTATTAAATCCCCCTTCGCCTGAATATAACACTATGCTAAAATAAATTATTGAATCCTAGCCTCGACATAGGATAAAATCTTAGATGTAACATTTTTATTTTTTTTGAATCCCCTTGTTCAAACTCTTGGCTTGCCACTGCATTTGAAAAATGTTTCAAATAAAAGATATTTTCTACGAAAAAAATGTTGTATGAGGAAAATGCTTACAGTAACAAAAGAGATTCACTGGGAAAATAAAAGTTNTACATAGGATAGCCCAGAGCAAGAACCGGCCTGCAAATTTGGTAAAGCAAGAAAACAAAAGAAAGTATAAATACACATACATGCAAAATACGTACTTAAATACGTAGACTCATGCTAAAGTATTTATAATGGTAAAAAGAAATCAGCACTAATCTGCTATCTACAAAGCTAAATTTGTGTTCTTTTTCCTCATTACTACTACTACTTCTCAAGATTTTTCATGACCAAGCTCCAGTTTTTACCAAACAAAAACAAGAATATTGGAAAAAGAAAATGAATTTACCAAGCCAGGAAATCGATCAAGTGAAGCGTAAAACTGAGAAAACCCATTTGGAAAAATCTTTCCTTTTCTTTCGCTTTCTTTTTGTAGCAATTTCCTCAGCTTGAGTTCTATCAAGTTGTTGTTTGAGTTGATCAGTGGGAAAAAGGAACAGAGACTGTACTTGAGAAGACTTTTGAAGAGGAAAAGATGAGAGTTAGTTTCCAAAAATAGGTCTTTCTTTTGTATAATTACAGAAATACCATACTGATGTAAATACTGGAAAAAGGCGAACGAGTGGTAATTTTGGAAAACTAACAATCCGTACTAAAATTGACCCGTCTTCGGCCTTTCTATCTTCGATTAAGGAAATGTCGAATATTTCAGTTCCATATTTTCGGTATTAAATTTCTTAAAATGCTATAACAATATCGTACATAATTAAATTCGATATGGTTCGGTTTTTTCCTTTTGGTTTCAGTTTATTCGGTTCGGTAACTTCAGTTTATTTGATTTGAATACTAACTAGTGCATAGAGTCATAGACTATAATATTCTTAATTAAAGTATTCAAAAGTACAAAACTAAAAATGTTTGTTGATAAAAGTTTTGTCTAAAATCAGCAAATATCAACCTAGAGAGAGAGAAAATTACACATAAAGGAATAAATTTGATCATTAGAAATGTCTTGTTACTTGCTTAGAGTTAATTGACGAACTTAGGAAAGAAATTTTTTAAATTTTTTATATTTATGTTATAATTAATAATATGTGTTTTGTGTAATATAATATATATTTCGGTGCGTTATCGATATTTCGGTATTTTATTTTAAAATACCAAATACCATACCTAATACCAAATTTTTTTTAAACTTAAACCAAATACCATACCGAATACCAAAATATCAAATATCAAATACCAAAATATTCGGTTTCGGAACAGTAATGTGGTATTTACCAAATTATGCACAGACTAAGGCTGACAAGTGGGTCGATCCAGGACCGCGGCCCATGTGGGTAGTAGGCCTAAACGGGCTGAACCGTTTAAGACTGGGACCGGGGGAGGTAGGCCTGGCAAGTGGACTAGTCCTTAGCTTGAGGCCCGCGAGACCGGACCGTTTGAAACCGGGACCGAACCGGTCCTAGCGGGCCTAAACGGTCCAAACGACAATAATTTTTTTTTAAAAAAAATCTGCCCGTTTTGGCATTTAAAATCTAGTCGTTTCCTCTGCCAAAATAGCCGATGGCTATGTACAAAATAGTCATTTAACCCCCCCCCCCCCAACTTTGGTTTAACCCCAAACTTTTTATAATTACATGTTTTTCCTATTTTCAACTATAAATACCTCTCATTCTTTTATTTTTCTCACGAACACATCAATCTCTCTCTAATTTTCTTCTATAATTGCTTACTTTATTGTTATAATTTGTAAAAAATTATGAAGTTGGTGAATTGAAGTCTTCAAGTCTTCAACGATAATTAATTTTCAACAAGTTATTCGTCAATTCGGTAAACTCGTTCCAGCTCTAAGTTTTAATATTATAGTTTTATTTGTTTTATTTACTTTGTATTGCTTGATTAATTAAGATGGTTTATTCCTTAAAAATAATATTTAGTAAAAATAAGGAAAAATCCAAGAGTGGTGAATCTAGTGGTCAATCTGTTCCTCCACCACTTTCCCCGGCTCCCCGACCCAAACCTGTTACTCATCATACACCTGCCATTCTTGATAGCGATAATAGTTTATTACAATTTTCCAAGAGTCAATTTTACCATAATATTGCACCCGGCGAACAATTAAACCATGAATATATGAATGCTCTTTATGGTAATCCAACTATTGATGAAAATGATAATGAAGAAATAGATTTTGATGAAACGCAACCGGATGACGATACACCCACTAGTCCTGCTCCTGAAGTTAACCCAACTAATAATAATCCAAATGATGCCTCGTCTGACCCTCTTGTTACTGCCCCTACTTTTTCAAGACAACCTTTTAAACGGATAGAAACATCTATTGTTTGGTCATTTTTTACTCAACTAAGAGAAAAAAATAGGGCTAAGCATACAACTTGTGGCAAATAGTTAGCTTTTAAATATGTTGGAGGTCAGAGGGACGAAAAGTTTGACTAGACACATATTGCTACACCCTCAAGATAAAGTTAAATATCTTCCGGACTATGATGATCCGGCCAGTTGTCTCATTAGTTACCGTTATGTTTCCCCCATTTCTGCTTCTTATTGCTTTGTCTATAGGGTCTATGAGTGATCGGTTTGGTGGCTCGGGTTCGGAAAGGATTTGGTAAGATTTGAGACATTTAGTCTCTTTTTAGGAAGCTTAAGTTGAAAAAGTCAACTAGATGTTGACTTATGTGTTAGAGGGCTCGGATGTGAATTTCGATGGTTCGGATAGCTTTGGGAGGTAATTTGGGACTTAGGAGCGTGATCGGAATGAGTTTTGGAGGTTTGGAGTAGATTTAGGATTGAATTGACGAAGTTGGTATTTTGATGATTTCCGGTTGATAGGTGAGATTTTGATATAGGGGTCGGTATGGAATTCCGAGAGTTGTAGTAGTTCCGTTGTGTCATTTGGGATGTGTGTGCAAAATTTCAGGTCATTCGGACGTGGTTTGGTTGGGTTTTTGATCAAAAGCGAAATTCGAAAGATTTTGGAAACTTAGGCTTGAATCCGATGTGTTTTGGTTGATTCGATGTTGTTTGAGGTATTTTGAAGATTGGTATAAGTTTGAATAAGGTTATGGGGTATGTTTGTGTTTTTGGTTGAGGTCCGGGGGGCCTCAAGGTGATTTCGGATGGTTGACGGAGAGTTTGGAATTTTTGGTGAAGCTGTAGATTTTCTGCTTCTGGTGTTTCTGCACCTGCGGATTGGGACCGTAGGTGCGATGCCGCTGATGCGATGAAAAGGGCCGCAGAAAGGAAAAGGGCCTAGGAAGGATGGGGCCGCAGAAGCGGTTGAGGAGCCACATCTGCGATAGCGCAAGTGCGGGAAAAGGATCGCATAAGCGAAAAATGGTCGTTTAAGTGATGACCGCAGAAGCGGGTAATTGGCCGCAGATGCAAAATCCTTAGGCCAGAAAGTATAAATTGTTTCCTTCGCGATTTTTGAGCTATTCCATCATTTCTAAGTCGGCTTGCGGGCTTTTTGGGCGATTTTGAAGAAGGATTTCAAGGGAACTTCATCGAGGTAAGGATTTTGGACCTAAAACTCGTTCCTATGGTATTATTTCACGGATTAGAGCTATAATTAATGGAAATTAAGGGTTAAAATTGGGGAAACTAGAGCTTAGTATTGGAGACCTAGACTTGAGCATTTGAGGGACCATTTGTGGTCGGATTTTGGTACTTTTGATATGTATGAACTTGTGGAGAGATGAGGAATTTATTGGTGTGAATTTTATCGAATTCCGAGACGTGGGCTCGGGGTCGATTTTTGGGAATTTCGGGATTTAAGTTGTATATTGATTATTTTCGCTTGGGCTTCATTCCCTTAGCATATTTTGACGTCGTGATTCTGAATTTGGATAGATTCGATGCGAGTGGAGGCCTATTCGAGGGGCAAAGGCGTTGCGGGCTAGATTTGGACCGGATTGAGGTGAGTAATGATTGTAAATGATGTTTTGAGGGTATGAAACCCCGGATTACACATCGTTGTTCTATATTGAGGTGACACACACGTTAGATGACGAGCGTGGGGTCGTGCACTATTGGGGATTGTGACTTAGTCCATCCCAAATGACTATTTTACCGCGTATTTGATTGAAAACTATTTGCTACCATCATGTTTTGGGTTGAATGTCGTATTTGGGCCTAGTGTCAACTATTTAAACCCTTAGGGGATTTTTATTGATATTTCCTCACTGTTTTGACTTTATACTTGAACTCAATTATGCTATATTCCACTATTTTCATAACTCGACCATTTTTACTCTATTTTAACACTTACATAATCTTTTAAATGATATTTTGGGATGAGAAGTATGTTTTACTATTGCCCGAGTGGCTTGTGAAGATTTTGACTTAGTAAGGCCGAGGGCCTATGTTGTGAGGAAACATTGATTATGATTATGAGGCCGAGGGCTTGAGATATGTACGCCATGAGGTGACTTGTTGATATGAGGCCGAGAGCCTAGTGATGATGCCACGAGATCGAATGATATTGCGCTTGGGCCATAAGGGACCCCTCTAAGAGTCTGCACACCCCCAGTGAGCGCGGGTACCCAATGTGATGTAAGAGATAGCCCGAGGGGCTGGTGTTGTTCTATGATCTTGCTCGAGGGACGATCCTTTATGTGTTTATCTTTCCTATTTGCCTGTCATTTGCTTGCTTAATTGTTCAAAAGGCATTTTATGAAGTTTTAAACTGAACTTAGTAATTTTGCACATCTTTACTGCTTCATTGTTTTACTGGCTTTTACTACTTCCTTATAGCCTATAATGTGCCTTACGTGATTTCTTGCTTTCAGTCTTTATTTATGATTATTACTCACTGAGTTGGAGTACTCACTTTACTCCTTGCACCCCGTGTGCAGATTCAGGCATTGTTGATCCTGCCAGCGCGAGTTGAGAGCTCCTGACAGACTTCGGAGTCCATGAGGTAGCTGCTCGGCATCCGCAGTCCCGTGTTTCTCCCCCTTTATCTCATTTCTATCTCTTTATCAGTTGTTTTGTAATAGTTTATTAGGGATTTCATACTTGTAGCGTATTGATAGATGCTCATGACTAGTGACACCCCGATATCGGGCTGTGTTGGGTTTATCTTCTGCAACTGTACTGATAACTGCTTACTTTTGAATTATTTATCATGTTTTAGACTTAATTCTTATTGTTTAATTGCTTAAACTGAAATGGGTAAGTGTCGGTTGGCCTTGTCTTTACGAGAGGCGCCATCACGACAGGGTCCGGGTTTAGTGTCGTGACATGGACGCAATAGCCTCAATTAAAATAAATGCTCAAACTATTTATAATGCTATAAACTTGCATTAAATCATGCTAGACCCAATGTTCCAACTCCTTCTTCTTCTAGTTCTCAATCATCTAAAAGAACTGCGGCAGTAAGAGCAATTAGTGCTTGGGCGGGGTTCAGGAGTTCTCAAGGTTCTAGTACTAGTGATTTTTCACAATTAAATGAGCTTGAAGTTTATTTGTCATAGA